TTGATTACTAGAAAATCAGAGGCTAAACCACAAAAGCGCCACGGTATTTGTGGGTTGACCCGTTACTTGCCGATGGGGCGCCACACGGTGCATGCGGATTGGCTCGGTGCACCGGGTGTGCGGTGGACACTTATTCTTTGCTTGGTAGCTGATGCGCCAAGTCCGCAGTCCATGGTGGACCCGATTACATAACCGAAGGGGTATCTAACCAAAAGCCGTCCACTTGTGATCTAACGGCGTAGAAGAATGGGAGGGCTCCCCTCACCGGCGTGCGATGCTGCTAGCGGATGGTGCCATGAATGCCGATAGCTCGAGCTCGTTGGGATCACCGGTATGGCAATTTCGTAGCCCTCAAACCCAGCGGACACACCTAAATGCGTGACGACCATGCAAATCTAATGGAGTATGAAAAGGGTCGAGAAACATGTCGGGATGATGGCCCCATGGCGGCACCATGAGCAGACGTGATCTAGAGCTCACTGATACGGCACTCTAGAGCACAACAACAAAAAAGCGAAGGGGCGGGGGAGCACGTGGGGTATCTGATGAAGCGTGTTGAAGGGGTTCTCGCCCGTGCAGGGAGGGCTCAATGCGACCGGTGATGTGTGGTGGTGGTGTGAAGGGAAAACCACCGGTGAGCACTAAGCATGTAAAATCCGTGACCAAAATGAGGGGAGAGGGCACCTCTTTGTTATAGTGGGGTTTGGTGGAGCTCTGGTAGCGTCCCCAATGGCAACCGAGGCTTGAATGAAGAGCTTGCGGGAGTGGAGTCTGAGCTCGAAGTTGCGAATGGAAAGGGAGAGGGGGGGCTCGGCCAGTGGGATTTATATTGACGCGAGGAGCGCAGTGAAGGGAAACATGCGTGGCGTCAATCGCTCAACATCACTGCGGATTTTGAATGCACTGCCTTGGGTGGCTCGAAAGTCTTGTGGGCGGCGGCCATGGAAGGCAAAGCGCCATCATCGAACAATGAAGAAGGAGGAGAAGGGAGGCGGTGTGGCCAGTCCCATGGTGCAATGAGAGAAGAGGGGGAAACAGCGGTGTGCGGGTGTTGGCGCGGAGGCGAGCCCTTCTTTGGGCAGCGAGCGTAGCGCGGGGCCGTGTGTGTAGCTGCGCCGCGTGCGATGAAGGAAAGGCATCTTTGGAGTGGGCTACCGAGTAGGCCCTTGCTCTTTGGCCACGCAGCGTCGCAGGCGGGGAGGAGGAAGGAAATCTTGCGCAGGAGCTAGGCATGTGACCCAGGCGGAATATGGGGTGCATTAAAAATAGAAAAGAGAAACTTTTTTAATTTTTTGGTTTTTGCAAACTTGCTCTAAATTCAAACTAGACTTGAATTCAAAGTCACTCAACTCTAACCCTACACCGGTCGGGATTGGCCGTCGGCTGGCCCCCTGTGCGCCATCCCCTACTAAGGCTCTCACAGGCCCCGGGCAAAATGAGAATAGAAACAAGGTAAGGGCTTAGGTGCAATAGTATTGACTCACATAAATAGTGTATCTTTGAATTTGCGGATCGGTTTGGTAAAGTGCAGGGCCCTTTACACAAAGGTGGCGCGCCTCCTCACAGGCCTTGGCACGTGGACCTTGATGACCATGGGCCCCCTCACAGCGTCTGTGGCAGCAGGTGGAGCCCTTGACTATTTGGTGGTCGGCAGGTGTTGCTGGGCCTCTTGGCCACCAGTGTGGGCCGAGGCTGGCGAGGCACCTTAAGTGCCCTTTTCTTTTTCTAGTTTTTGTTTAAAATGGTTGAAACTTATAAAATTCATAATAAATCAAATAAAAAGCATAAAATAACAAATCCAATTTTGTTGGACTCTACACAGATTGTACTACACAATGAACACATAAAATCACATGCTTTAGTGCAAAATAATTTGCCTTAAAAATTAATCTATTGTTGTTGTAATTAATTAAATTAGTTTCCTTGCTCCAAATGCTATGAAATTTTTATGGTAGGTTCATCATATGGTTTGGTATCCACTGTAATTTTGTAGCTACTGAGAGAAATTAAATTACTAGGATAGCAAATGAGCCCTAGTTTGAATATATAGTAAATCAAATAAATAAAATAAAGAAACACCTTGGAATTTTATAACTAAAGCACTTGTTGGGAAATGACACCTTTCTCGATGATATTGATGCTTAGGCTGATACGTTAGTCATTAGAGCTAGCTTGTTAGTTAAGTAGTATGTACTCTATTTTAAGAGTTGTTGTTGCCTTGTTAATTATCTGTTGCATCATTTGCATCAATGCATATCATATAGGTACGCGATGATGGATCAACGGATCAATTGAAAGATGATTAGGAATCGAAGATGGTGTAATGGTATTCTCTCTAGGAGATAATGTAATGGGCTTTCTATTGAGATGATGGTGGATGATTTGAAGATCTGAGATACTAACTTTTTAGAATATATCTTACCTAGGCAAGCCCGGTACATAACCCTATTTTTACGCACTTTATATTATGTTTGTGCATTAAGTTTTAAGGAGTTGAATGAAACCCACTTGCATATATATATATATATATATATATATATATATATATATATATATATTATATCTTTATCTATGAGTCTTACTAGTATGACGGGATCGTATAGATTGCTATACTCTGGGGACTCTGTAGAAGTTGAGTGCTTACTTTTGTCACTTTCATGAGATAGAAAATATATTATTGTTGTTATTATATTATTATCACATGGAATATATATATGAATGATAAATGGAGACCGGGCATGGATATGGTTTGGGTATTGGTGGGTGTAAGAGGTTGTGTCTTACGACCAGCAGGGGCATAGCTTGGTTACATTGTTTCCTATGCATGTCGGTTGAGGACCGGCCGTTGCATTAGACTCTAGGCAAGTCACGGACTTTATTATCCTGAGCACATACTTGTGTATGGAGTGCGAAGAAGACTTATTACTCTCTTGTCATGGGTTACGGCTCTTTTGGATGACTTTCGGGGTGGTTTTTGGGTGGAGGTCCAAGCACCGCCTTGAGTCTGAGGACTTAGTGAGGGCACAGAGTCAAGTTTGGATGGGAACACGGACCCCGTGACGGGAGGGTAGTGGGTTGGTCTGCTTGTGCACAGGGGTACAAGCGGGGCTTATGTTCAGTACCCAATTTGGGCACATTGATTCGTGAATCATCGATGTTTCAGGTATGGCTTGTCTATAATCTAACACCGTAGTAAGAAGCTGGAAGATGAAAGATGGTAAAATGATTACGATTGCTTATCACTGTTTGAAACTAGCACGAGATGCTTACATAGAATGGTTAGTTAATGAACTAATCTTGTTGCTAATAAAAATTGAATATAAGGAGGCACGCTTAATAATGCTTCTTGCGGATGCAATAAACCCATAGCCGATAGTCTTGCATATCCTTGGAGTCTTTTCTTCCTCTGTTGGGTAAGTCTTCTTTGAGTACAATTGAGTACTACGGGTTTTATTTTCCCTCATTGCGGTGTGACAGTGGATGCTAGAGTGACTCTTGTGTGTGGATCCCTCTGGTGGGCTCGAGAAAAGGATTCCATTCTGTTGCAATCATAGTCTTTATTTATAACTCTCACCAAATATTTTTATTAATAGAAGATCTATAATCTGTTGTCCTAGCTTATATATCAATGCTTCGTCATGCCATGAATAGATATTTATTCTGTTTGTAACTCACGATCACATGTTTATATTCCATGATTAAATTAAATTGTTCATAATTACGATAACATGTTCATATTCCACTATTATAAATAATAAATATTATACTACGATGTTACATGGAAAGTGATGTAAGAAATGGTTAAAATATTGTAAGCTTTATTCTCTCATTTGTGATCCTAATGGAAAATGTGGATTTTCGGGTTCTCCTATAGGGTGTGCCCGAAGCGGAACTGCGTAATTTAGTGTTCTTCCTTGAGTACTTAGTGTCTAATGGAAGACAAGTACTCTGTGAAGGCATTAGATTAGGTGGTTACGCCACTAAAAGTGGGGAAGTGCGTGGGGAGACAATTGGTGATGGGATTGCAACTTATCGGTATTTAAGCGAGTATTTCTATTGGCCTTATGTACAAGGCTAGACTAGGTAAGAGTGAACATTAGCAGCCTAGTTTCATATATTGGGAATATGCCTCATTCATTTGTGAGGGACACGGTAATATAATATTCACTAAGTGGACATAGGGAATAAGGAAGAGAAAAATGATAAATGATATATTGTTGTTCTTAACAAATATATATTTTGTATGGCGTCGTGTGCAGAGCTTGTTGCCTCGGAAAAATCATATTAGTTTTTGAGTTTTGTCATTTGAGGTTGTTAAAATGGTCAAAATATTAATACAAACTTGAGAGAGCCAAACAATATACTACCATTGACATGTGGGTCCTATCTGTCAGGATCTATGTAAGCGCTAAATTGACATGCCATGTAGCATAGCGGGTCATGTAAATGTCTGCATTTGGACCTAGATGAGACCCATTACAACTTCATGGAGTCAAATATGCATTTTGGGACTTTGAGGACCTAGATGACATCTCCAATTAACTTTGAGGATCGCCCATGAATTTTACTCTACAATCATTATCGTAACAAGTACAATAACATACTTTTAGGGTAAGCAGTCACTTGTTCATTAACTAATTAACCTTCATTCTATTGCAACACATAGACATATCACATATTTGGTAACTTTATATTAAAAACTGAAAAATTCTTCTCTTTTGTCTTTCACTCTCTTTCACCCATCTGCCACCCACTCATCCATCTCTTGGTATATCGTTCTTCACTCATATCTTTCTCATTTTAAATTTAGAGCTACGAAACCTTTTATTAACACTGCACCACTCCTATCATAGCGTGGCCGCCTAAACCCGTTCATGTTGTGGTGCACCTTCTATCCTTATTAAATTTATACTACTACACAACAACTATCTATTTAAGTTAGGTCAATCCTCTATCAACTTCTCGAGGTGGTTGGCCACGGCGTGGACGGCGGCGGCCGGATGCTGGACGTGGCGCGCCGCTTCTTCGACCTGCCCTTCCAGGAGCGCGCGCGATACATGTCCGCCGACATCCGGGCCCCCGTGCGCTACGGCACCAGCTTCAACCAGCTCAACGACGGCGTCCTCTGCTGGCGGGACTTCCTCAAGCTCGTCTGCTGCGACGACCTCGCCGCCGTCGTGCCGTCGTGGCCAGACGCGCCCACTGACCTCAGGTACGGTACGGTACGGTGATTGTTAATCTCATCTCTCGTTCACCTGAGACTGAGAGAGAGTCATCGACCAAATGGAATAGTTTCCTTTCCATTTTTTTTTAATTTCGGTATGTAGTAGTCCGCGCCCAACAAACAAACAAGCAGTAACATTTTGAGAATTACCATTACCAGCAGTGAATTCGTCCCTGCAGCTGCATACTTTGCCGGTGCATGCATGCGCATATGTTGGGTCCCTTTCAGATAACCCAGGAAACAGATATTGGGTCCCTTTCAGCGCATATATACTATAGTAGTATGCAGCGAAAGGGATCAATAACACATGTAGATTTTTTCCTTGCTGCGGGCAATGCAAAACAGAGCTTTAAGCCTGTTTGTTTAGCTGTGGCATATTGTAAATGATCGTAAATTTTTAGTCGGAATAGTATTTTTCTCTCACATAAACCAGCCAGTAAGTGATCTTCTTCTTCAATCGATCAGCAAACGAACCAGGTCAACCAAACAGGCCATTTGCGATGCTTGCTGGTCCGGTAGCTCTACAGACGTCTGCACCCAAGCACAATCTAGAGGCCCAGAGATCTTTTGCACCCAGATCTTTTGAGCGGGCGATTCGACCGCGATATTAAAAAGCCGGTGATAAGCGGTTGAAGCTATTTTGTTGTGAAAGAAAATACTTATAGATTTTTAGGCGATAAGCCGGTGATGACTTCAATGAACAGGCCCATTTAAGCGCAGGCGCGTGTGTAGCGCAGTGGCAAAGCTCCATTGGTGGGAGCTGGCCGGCGGCTTGCTTCATCCAAGTAAATAATTTTCTATTGCCTTGCACGTAGATATCCCATAATAGTTAGTGTGATCCGCTTGCCACGCTTAGTCCGATGAGCGCATGTTTAGTTGGGTGAATTTGGAAATTTGAAATCTTGTAACACTTTCGTTTTTATTTGACAATTAGTGTTCAATTATGGACTAATTAGGCTCAAAACGTTAAATCTCGTAATTTCCAACCAAACTGTGCAATTAATTTTTTTCGTCTATATTTAATGCTCCATGACGTGTTGTAAGATTCGATGTGATGAATCTTGTAGCACTTTTTAGGAATTTGGGGTTATGAACTAAACACGCGCTGACTTTGGGTACTTCTTAGCTCTATGTTGTAAATTTCTAGCTTGCGTTTGGGATGGTGTGAATGTATAGTGTGCATGCTTGATGCGTAAGTCTAGATACCACAGCTTGTAGTTAAAAGGGATGGGGCATAAAAAAAAATCTCTGAGTGACAGGCACAGGCACAGATGCATATCCCAATTCCCAGAGCAGATGCCACCATGGGCCGGCGCCAAAAGACAAACGCCGCCCGGCCAGGATAAAGCCGAATCAAATCCGCCGCACCTTCCCTCTCGCCACCTTCCTCTCCTCTCTTGGTCTCAGCCACTGATGATGCCTGATGTATGCAAGTGCTATACAACTGGCCAGAACTCACTAGATTTGATGGGTCCGTTCGTTTAAACTTATTAGTCAACTTATCAATTAAGTATTTTTTACCACAATAAAAGCGAACGATTCGAACATCATCGCCAATTTTAATACGAGCCGAAGTGGTGGCTGACCTGAGTCCACGCGTCCAAGTACAGTTTCACTGGAGCAGCTTCTAAGAAACGCATGGCATGTGATTTTTACATGCTCGTCGCAAATTAATTTTGCAGGGAGGTGGTGTCGGCATACGCGCGGTCGAGCCGGCGGCTGTTCAGGGAGCTCATGGAGGCGGCGCTGGAGGCGCTGGGGATCCGCTCCGGCGGCGCCGCCGAGATGCTGGCGGATTGCGACGCCGGGTCGCAGATGCTCATGGTCAACTGCTTCCCGGCGTGCCCAGAGCCAGATCTCACGCTGGGTATGCCACCGCACTCGGACTACGGCTTCCTCACCGTCCTCCTGCAGGACCAGGTGAACGGCCTCGAGGTCAGGCACGCCGACACGTGGGTCCTCGTCGACCCACTCCCCGGCTCACTCGTCGTCAACATCGGAGACCACTTCGAGGTACGAGTACGCGGACGAACATGTATAACCTACTACTGATCATCAGAAGAAGCTGATGATTAATTATATACGCATGCATGCTTAACTTGCAGATGTACAGCAACGGGCGTTACAAGAGCCTGCTGCACCGGGTCCGCGTGAACTCGGCTCGGCCGCGCATCTCCGTGGCGTCGCTGCACGGCCTGCCGCCGGAGAGGGTGATCGGGCCGGCGCCGGAGCTGGTGGACGACGAGAAGAACCCGAGGATGTACATGGACACGGACTTCGCCACCTTCCTCGACCACCTCAGCTCGGCTGAGGGCAAGCCTGAAGTCCTTCCTCCAGACCAGGAGACTCATCACCAACTGATGTTGAGACCAGCTGGACGCATCCTAGCCGCACGCATGTTACTACTTGATCCCATCTGTCCGTCCGTTCTTCTTGCCAGTTGTCGGCAGGAAGAACACGTATGTGAACACGTATGTGCCTGTGGTTGCGGACCAAGAAGTTGACCGGTCAAACCCATCGCGCGCCGTTTAGCGTCCGGACTGCGACTGGTCGTGCTCCCTCTCCCTCCCATCAGGATTGTTGCCTTTTCTGTACCCTACCTATAGCCAGTTAAATAAATAAAGAAAAAGTAAAGTTTATCGGCGGTCCTCAAAATTTGTGGCCATGTGTTATTTTGATAAAGTTTATCGGGCCCGTTGCCATCTTTACTCCGAGGGCACCAAAGCCATCTCCGAGTACATGTCCTACGCCTAGGTACGGTGGTAGCTTAGCTGACATGTTTTATGTGATGTGTACGGAGTAATCTCATGTGATGCGTGCCCATCGTGCCGTAATGTACCGTACCTTGAAGTCAAGTAGACGTAGTAGTAGGGCGTACTGCGCAGACTGTGCGTAACTATACGTAGTTGGTAGTTTTCAGTGTGTAATCAGGATAGATGTCTGTACTTTGTATGTTTCGTTGTCTTATCTGTTGTTTCGAGTCCTTGTGCCTTGTCCTGTCCTGTCTATCTGTTTCTTCGATTGGATCCCTCAACCATCATCCATGTGTCGCCTGGCTAGCTACTAGTACATTTCTACTCTAGTTTGTGTATATGTTTGTCTATCTCGTTACTAACTACTTTATGTACCGATTATGGCTGGCTGGCTGGGAAGATTATACTGACGGGCATTGCGGTATACTCCGTAATTCCAAAGCAAGCAGATCTGTAAAGCTCTCTTGTATTTGGGCCTGCTCCGTTGGTAAGGCCCACAGTGATGATTCACCATTTTAGAGCAACTCCGAACCAGTCGATGTATCTCGCTCTGTATCTAACTCCAACGGCCTCTCTAAAATGCAGAGCAGGCTAAACTGCATCTGTTAAATGCAGAGCAGGTTATTCCGTGATTTTTGGGTCGGCAAAGCAAGCGAGCCAACTTCGCTGGCCATCAGACGTACCCACGCTCGTGGCCTCCTTTTTTGCCTTTGCAACTCCATGGAATAGTACCTTTTGTTTGCACCGTTCAGTTCTCACTCAATGACAACATTTTGAAGCCTAAAATTCGTCACGTAAACGCAATAGTTATTGCTTGTAAACTTTACCGCTCTTTACCGCATAAAAGCGTGTTGGTTATCCGCTCTTTTTTTTGTCCATTTGCGACCGGAGCGTTCCAACTTCTTATAATGTGTGACCGATATTCACTCAACAGTTAGAAAAACTAAGACAATTTATAGTCAGTGTTTTAAATAGCCAGCTAAGCCATTTAGCGATCCATCACCGAAAACAGTAAACAGCCAGCTATAGCGGGCTATGGGTCCAACTGAATGCTAAGTTGTACATCGAAAAAAATAGCTAAATCTTTTTCAAACAGCTATATCTGGAGATTAAAAACTTTGCTTATAATTGATTAACTAAAATAAGTTATAATTTGAAATATATGGAGCGCTTTACTTTTATACTTATAGATACCACTCGTAATACTCCCCTGTACAGTAATAATTTGGTTGACCTTGCACGATCTTTTAGCTGCTGATCCAACACTCTCTTAGTTCCCGATGATGAGGCTTCCTAGCTTTAAATTTGGTCAATGTTGCTTCCTGATTTATATGTTTCTTTATGAGTAAAGTTCATGGTCGGTCATCGAACTTGTGCGAGTGTGTCATCCCGGTTCCCAAACTCAGAAAGAGTGTCATTCGGTCCTTAAACTCTGTTTGGGTCTCATATTCATCCAAATAGATCTGGATCACTGCAGCTTGAAGGGGAAAAGCCACTGATACACTGGTGGAAGTCTTTTTCCCATCGAAGGAGATAATAAAGAACCTAAAGGAGACAGTATCCTACTGCAAGGCATTAGCTCCAAGACGCTGGTCTCTAACTAGAAAAGTAAATGCTTGAGCTTGAGAAGCTGCTTACTTCGTTCCCTAATTTCATTCAAGAGATCCTGAGGAAAAGAGTTGGGTTTCCACCGAGCTGAAACAATATAATATACTAATGATGATTTACGAATTTCAAAAAACATTATTCTATTGGATTGGATTTGTTCGAGAATTCGAAGAATTACAACAAAATCTTTAGAAATCACATTGCCAGGAGATAAAGAAGAAAGGAGCATGTTGAAAGGGTTTTATGCCACGGATACCACCCTTATGTCTGTTGGGGATTTGACTCCTGAATCACTATCTTTTCAGTGCCCGAAAACCTTTAATCGGTAGATAAAAAACCAAGAGATTCTCTTGCTTTTCATTGGCTGATTCTCTGTTCCAGGTACAAGTCAAGTGGTCCGGGGATGGATTCCTGGTGTTTTTTGTTTGGTGGTGTAGCAAATATAGACTCAAGAGAGCCGTATCTTTTGGTGGAGGGAAAAATTGGCTACCGAGCTGCGGGGAGATGAGAAGACGCTTTTTTTTGAGAGTATGCCAATATGATCTTAATGAGGTGCGGGGCTTTCCACGTGTCAGCTCTATCTCTCATCTCTGATCGCCCTCGTGGCCATGGTCAGTCCGAGCGCAGCTGTTGGCTCAGCTGTCTTGGGCAAGCGGCGGCGGCGGTGCTGCCACCGCCTTGACGTTAAGCGACTTCTCGCTTTCAGCTTGTGCACCGACGGCGGCAAAATTGATCGCTCTCTGCGGTCTTACAATGACACGCTCACCCACGCTTTGTCTTGTGTGCGTGGCAATGATGGCTCGCTTAAGACGGCGGCAGCTTCATGCTGGCGTGCTTGTGCATCTTGTGGCAATGACGGCAGCTTTCGTCTGCATCTTGATGGACATGCTGCTTCCGTTCAAACACTGCATCAACACGAACGTGATCAAGAACCCGGCCTTCGTCGACTTCTTGCCAAGCACTTCGACTGGGGCAGCTCAAGTGGTACCACACGGAGGCGCAGAAGGGGCATTCGCCGAAATCTCATGATATTTCTCATATATCCTTTTTATCCGTAGGTGCCGATAAGAAAATATCTATTTTTTCGTACAAATTTTGTTTAAATTTATTTAAATTTACTTAAAGAGAGGTTTTGCTATGGGTATGGTGATGTTGGTCACTTCATAGCCGATTGTCCTAAAGAGAAGAAGAAAAACAAGTACAACAAGGATGATGACAAGAAGAACAAAAATAAGAAGAGAGGTGAAGCTCATCTTGGTGAAGAGTGGGAGTCAAATGATGATAGTAACTGAACTGATGATGATGAGAAGAAGAAGAAAGGAGCCACGAACATCACCATCCACCACTCCTCATCACCAACCATGATCTTCCCCGACTCGGCTTCACCACCAAAGCTCTTCCCCAACCTAGCTTCATCACCGAGACTCTTCTCCAACCTCATCGATAATGACTAATACACTCCAACTTGCCTCATGGCTAAGGGGAGAAGGTACATGACTCACCCACTCCTTCTAGCGATGAGTATAATAGTTGTGATGAGAACATAGAAGAAATTGAGGAAAGCATGATAAGAAATTTTGGTAAAAATGCCTTCACTAAAATAAAAATGCTAATGAAGAAATTAGAGAAGAGAGATAGGTGCTTGGAGTTGCAAGGTGAAATAATCACTCAAGAGAGAGACAAAAACCTTGCACTTGAAGCATCTATCGCCGCGGAAAGAATGAAGGTTGAGAAGTTAACCATATAATTGTCTTTAGCCAATAACACCATTGGGAAATTAACTAAAGAACATTCCTCGGTTAATGATACAATAGCTAGCCTCAAGAATGAGAAAAGTATAGCTCAAGAAAGCCTTACACGCTTGGAAGAAAAATACCAAAATCTTGAGTTAAACTTTAACACTCTTTGGGCTAGCACTTTGGCTTCTCCTAAGGCAATCGAAGACTCTAATGTCTCCACTAGCAATGGCTGTAAAAGATGCTATAAAATTAATGTAAATGCATATGCAACCAACCTTGTTGAGATAGAGAAGAAAGACAAGGAGATTTATAGGTTGAAGATGATCTTGAAGGATGGTTGCAAGTGTCAAGAACAATCCAACAAGACCATATACAAGTCATCAAGGCACCCATCAATCAAGGAAGACATTGGCTACAATAGGTATGATGGAAAAGCCAATGGAAGGAATATGAATAATGGTGTGCCTTGTGTGAAGTTCAATAAAGGAGTTGCTCTTGATGATCTATTGTGCAAGGCAAACAATGTCTACATTCCCAAGATTGCACCTACAAGTGACAAGACAAACAAGAAGAAGCAAGCGGAGTCCCCCAAGCCACAAGCACCAATCCCACGATGCTATGCTAGTGATTACATGTGTTGTTGGGACAAGAATGACAAGATTGTCATGAGATATGTTGGTGCCCATAAGAGGAAGGAGATCATGAGGAGTGTTTGGGTGCCCAAGTTTTATGTGACTAACCCCCTAGGACTCAAATCTTTTTGGGTACCTAAAACAAAAGCTTGATTTGTGTCGGAATGTTTTGCTCCGGCAATATCCAGCAACGTGATCGCATAGACGGAATCAGATGGCAGCACATGAGACATAGAGATTTATACTGGTTCAGGGCATGATGCACGCTAATCCCTACTCTAGTGGTACGACTGCTCTTCTTGTATTCATATGTGTTGATGGTAGTTAAAAACCATTATAAACCGTCAACATAACATGTATAAGGGCATAAATATGATCACCAACAAAGGTCTAGGGGTTTAAACTAACAAATTTCATGAGTTTTGGTGCCTACATTTGCTGCAGGGTTTATCCAAAAAATCGTCAAGGTGGACCTAGATGTCAGACTTAATTACGATTATACGTGGGATAAACAACTCTAGAAGGTTTCAGAGGACACCACACCGAAGCGGAGGGTGAGAGGCTGCTAGGTGGGACCGACCGGTCCCACCCTTAGGCCGGCCAGTCTAGGGTCCCAATTGTCATCCTCTGCTTCGCTACGTCGGTTCTCCACCGCCTTAAGGATTGCATCCATGCTGTTTATTCAAGTCGGTTTGATCTGAGGGCTCAGGATTGATGCTCCGGCCTATATGTATCAGCCCCTACCACCCCCCTGAGGCATAAGTCATTTGAG